TTATTTCAGGGAAACTAGTAATTTTGAATTTAGGCACCTTCTAATCCAGTAGGACCTCATTCTAACTTGATTGCATCTGCCAAGAATCTATTTTCAAAATAAGGTCAAATTCCAGGATCCAAGTGGATAGAAACATTGGGGACTCAGGAATATGATTTCAATTGTTCTTTCAATGTGGGTGAAGACAGTTGCTTTGAATTGGCATGGCCTAGGATCTTTAAGTCCTACTTTTCCAGAATTTCATGTTCATCTCACCCTGGAAAGAATGGCTATGGTCAAAAAGCCAACCAATAACAAATGCTGGGGAAAAAGGAATTCTTCTGCACTATTGGTGAGACTGTAGACTGGGGCCAAGGATTGTGAAAATCAGTGTGGAGATCTCTCAAAAAACTAGGATTGGAGGTTCCATTTAATCCAGCTATTCCCCTTCTGGGTATCTTTTCAGAAAAATTAAAAGCTTCATATCACAGTGATACATTTGCAGTGATGCTCCTAGCAGCACAATTTGTAAAAGATGAATCTTGGAAACAACCCACATACCCACCAACCGTGGAATGGATAAAAAGTATGTGGTATTTTTATACCCAGCCACAAAGAAGGATAAACTTGAGACTTTTATGGCTAAATGGATGCAGTTGAAGACAATACTCATAAATGAAATAAATCAGACACGTGTCAACATCGTATCATCTCCCTAGTGTGAGAAGCTGAAAGAGTAAATAAGTTAAAAAATGTACAATAGACACTGTGAAATGGGAAGAAATTGTTAAAAGAGAAACTGGGATGGGAGAAAGGGGGAAAGGAGAGAAAAGCAGAAAGAAATTCTAGATGTACACAAAATAGTTTACAAAGTTATTCTACTAATTTCTCTTAGTTGATTGTAAAGAAAGATTTGAGCTAACATTTTGGACAATTAAATGTCTATATATTGTAATATGAGTAATTTAAAGATAACAATATGCAGTGTATTAAACATTGTTACTCTCCTGTTACCTGGTTTTGAAATTTTGTTTCTTTGAGTCTTTTTTTTTTTTTTTTTTTTTGATCCCGAGGATCGAACTCATGACCGCGCGCCTGCAAGGTAGGCGCTTATGCCGCTGAGCTGAATCCCTGGCCCTTGTTTCATTTACTTCTCTTTAAAATAAAAATAAAAAAGTAGAATTTAATGGGCTGTAGCCTCACCATCTCTCCCTTTCCCTCTGCAGCTTCCTGGTATGAGGCCACGCGCAGACCTCGTCAGGGCTGACCTCTGCAGGGGAAGCACAGCTCCGTTCTGACACAGCTCGGGGAGACTCTCCTGATGCTCGAGCACAGATATGCCTTTGAGCAGTTGCCAGACTTAAGGTGGGGCCGAATACTTGCTCCTCACCCTGATCCTTCACGCTCAAATCTGGCCAGAGGCCTCAGCACTGGGGTGCAATGAGCAGATCCCGTGAGGAGCGTTTTTACATCGTGGATGACCATGGGCATGGGGTTGGCGGATGGATTTATGGTTGGAGTGCAGAGAGGGGGCTATTTTTCCTTCTGCCTCTAGGAATTAGAAGGTGAAAGGGGCCTGAAACTTCACCAGGGTCCTGGGGATATGCAAACAAACAAACAAACAAACAACAACAACAAAACACACCAGGGTGGACACTCCCTGGGCAGGTGGAGAGAACTGGACCACGAGGAGCTAAGTGACAGGCAGATTGCTGGAATAGCCAATCACACATTTGACAGTCGGGGATCAACAAACTCTGTACCTGCTCCTTGTGAGTAGAGTGTTACATATGTTCTCTAGGACTGCAGGAACTTTAAAAAGCAGCAGACACGAGCAAAATGTAGGTTTTTATTGCAGGCCTTTAAAGAAGGAACTGGGAAGGGGCTGGGGAAATACAGAATAGAGCTACTTCCGGGACAGGACGGGGATCAGATGATGATAGCAACAAAATCAACCGGCGAACCCACTTTTCAGAGTATCTAGCGCCCGACCACTCTGCCCTTGGCTGCCTTGGTGGAGCCTGGCAGGTTCAGTGCATCAAAGCCCTGGGCTGTGCAGTGGTTCCAGGGGACGCCCTGGTTCTCTGCAGCATTTCCTGCGGGGGTCACATCGCCTTGTCCCGCGAGCAGGGCCCGGGGCAGGTGAAGGCAGACAATGGCATAAATTTCCAGGACACTGCAGGGTATTTTAGACGATGAATGCTGACATGAATTACCTTGGGGTTTACCGCGTATGCTGTTTGACTCTGTGGTCTGCTATTGCTTCCTAGATTTGCTTGCACATCACATCTCATGTCCTAGGCAGTGTAGGACAGATTGGTGGCCTGCCTTTGGAACCTCAGGGTCATGTTATGTTTCTCCTCCTTTAAATTGAAGCAAGGGAGCTGAGGACAGGAAGCAGAGAGAGAGAGAGAGAGAGAGAGAGAGAGAGAGAGAGAGAGAAGAGAGAGAGAGAGAGAGAGAGAGAGAAAGAGAGAGAGAGAGAGAGAGAGAGAGACAAGAGACCGAGACAGAGACAGAGAGAAGAGAGATAGAGACACAGAGAGAGAGACAGAGAAAGAGAGACAGAGACAGACAGAGAGAGACAGAGAGAGAGACAGGGAGAGAGAGAGACAGAGAAAGAGAGACAGAGACAGACAGAGAGAGATAGAGACACAGAGAGAGAGACAGAGAAAGAGAGACAGAGAGAGACAAAGAGAGACAGACAGAGAGAGACAGAGAGAGAGAGAGACAGGGAGAGAGGAGGAAAGTGTGATCAAAACTTGGTTTTCTTGGCATATGTCATTAAAATCTGGCTGTAGGCTGACATTGATTTCTGACATGGAAACATTCATTTTAATGTAGAACATTAAATCAGTGGTTAACAGTACCTTTTTTTTTCTTTGAAAACTGGAACCCCCGCAGGGCCATTTAAGCATGCTTATATTATAATTCACTTTTGGTCTGGGTTACAGTTTAGAGAGATAAACCAGGCTGGCCAGTGGACCCACATTTTTATTTTTCCTTTTTTAAAAAGTAAAAACTGGAGAAAGGGGCTAGGTAGGTGTATTTTTCTAGAAAACACTTTCAGTGCTTGGGGTGAGAAGTTGAGGGTTTATTTTTACACACCTCTGTTTTTAGCTGCAGTCCAACCTCGCCTGCTCACGGTGGAAGCCCCTTTGTCGGAAACATCCCCAACTACATTTGTCCCTTGAGCATAGTAAATGCCAGATTATCATTTGTCCTGAGCTGCTTGGTTTTCTGGAGAGAGGAAACATCTTGATAACTCACTGAGATGGGTTATGCCGGAGAAACTGTAACGGATCCTCATCAACTCACACCACAGCATCCCCGGGGGCACAGTTCAAGGTCCCGGGGTCTTTCCGCTCACCTTCCAGCTCTGGGTATTGCTCGTGACCCCTCATTACCAAACCGTGTACAGTCACCTGCCATGTTCTCAGGGACACTTACGCAGGGGTGTGCTGTAACGACGTCAATTCTTTTCCTGTCTGACCTAGAAGATTACAGTGACTCAGTGTTGGCTGGGCCAGCCTTAAAGATTAAATCGAGGACGTTGACTTAATGATTTTAACAGTGAGTGTAAAGGATTTCCCAAGTATGTGGCTCATGATATAAAACAGAATTAATTTATTCAGTTTCAAAGAGAATGTAATGCAGTTGGAAGCAAATTTTATGATTGCATTTCATAAAAGAGAAGCTTCAGGTTTTAAAAGATTTAAATAGAAATAAGGGAGAGATGGGCTGGGGATTTAGCTCAGAGGCTTAAGAGCCTGCCTAGCAAGCACAAGGTAATGAGTTCAATCCCCAGTACAAAAAACAAACAAACAAACAAACAAACAAACAAACAAACAAAAAAAAAACAAGAAAAGAAATAAGGGTAGGGGAATCAAATGGAAAATAAACCTATTGGAATCCAATAGGGAATCTAATGTGCCAAACTTACAAGGTATCTTATATAAATAAATATCCAGCAATCAAGCAAAAGCCAGGTGTGGTGGCGTATGCCTGTAATCCCAGGATTTGGAAGGATGAGGCAGGAAGATTGCCATGCATTTGAGGCTAATCTGGATTACAAAAGTAAGTTCAAGGCCAGCTTGAGCTACATAAGGAGACCCTGTCTCAAAAACAAAAAATAAAGCAAAACAAAACAACCCTCCCAAAGCAAACCTAGGTGAGAATCATTATTCTGTGTTTATGAAACTTATTTTCTTAGTTGAATTCCTTTTGGTAGAACTTTTATTTGCTCTAATCCTGTGTTTCTCAGAAGTTAATATGTTTAAGAATTTCCTGGGGAGCTTGGTCATAATGCAGTTTCCTGGACCACATCCTCGGGCCTTAGCAAATATGGATGGTGTTCCAGAATATGAATTTTAAGTAAGTGTTTATTCACTTCTGTGCTAGTGGAGATGGCATCTCCTTTGCCAGCGCTTACTCACCCTCTGAACACTGACAGTGAAGTAAAAATAAGAATGCCAGGGTAATTAAGTTCTATAAACATACTTTCCCAGAATAACAATCTCCTTGACCTTTTTAAAATCCATTGCATAGCATCCCAGAGACGCACACAGTTTTAAAAGGAGGAAAAGCATGGGAATAAGTTTCCTTGTAGCACTTGGGAGACTGTCTAGAAGTGTTTTGCAATACATCCAGCAAAAGATAAAAGTTCTTGCCTGGAGCTTACTGAGAACAAGTCTATGAAACCCTGAGATTTTGCAGCTGGGCTGTGTGCATCTCCTCTGGAGTGTCTCAGTGGTCAGTGCCGAGCGGCTATTGAATCTCATTCCACTTGGGAGAACATGGAGATAGCTGTGCTGTTGGGCAAGTGACACCAGGAAATGCCTCAGCAGTTGGCTGCTTGGTCCCTGAGTCAAATTACTAACTGGTACCCAGTCCAGAGGAAAGCAGTGTGGTAAGCATGAGCCTCCCTGTTTTAGAGTATGATTTCTGTCAAGTTTAGGGAGGTCTCATCTTGCTTTTTGGGAAGGATGCAGCCAAATGACTTTATTTTAAAATATGATTGTGTGCTCAGTTTGGCAGCACATGTACTAAAACTGGAATGATGCAGAGATTATCACGGCCCCTGTGCATGGATGACACACAAATTTGTGAAGCATTCCATATAAAAAAATAAAAATATGATTGAATCCTATGGATGAATGAAGCTGTACTGGCAAGAAAAATATCAACAATAGGGGACTCTTTTGTGAGTAACCAGCACAGATGGGGAGAAGCAGCCAGCTCAGCCTCTGCATCTGCCATTGCCTTCAAGTACCTGTAGCCAACAGGGGTCAGGAGAACCAGCCAGCTACACCCTGGAGAAGCCTCAAGTGTCTGCAAAGCCCGACTCACATCCTTCACCTCCTGGGGAACCTGAGTTAGGGGAAACCCAGATGCCTAACCCATCTCACCACACCGTGGACAGAGCCAATGTGGGAAGTGCCTGGGACCCCACAACCAGCTTATCTGGAGGAACTCAGGAAACTGTCAAGACAAAGGAGCAAAAGGCACTCTCTGGTCTCCAGCCCAACAGAGTAAGTCCAGGAGACATGGACATGGAAGAAACTGTAAATTGCACACCTGAAATTTCTGGGATGATGGCAACTGAAGTAAAGCAACTACTTTATGAGGCTGTAAAAAAGAAGTCAGATCAAGCCAGGTAGTGGAAAACACCTATTATTCTAGCATTCAGGAGGCTGAGGCAGGAGGGTTGTTCTGAGTTCAAGACCAGCCTGGGCTACAAAGGGAGCTCAAAGCCAGCCGGTCTCTACATAGTGAGACCCTGTCTCAAAAAAAAAAAAAAAAAAAAAAAAAAAAAAGAAGAAATCAGATTGGAAATGTCTCGGGTAAAAGAAGAAATAACAAACATAAGATGTAGGGAGCCGAGTGACAGCCCATTGTTGTTTCTCTGTCTCTCTCTCTTATGGGCACTGCATCTGCCTACATTAACCATAATCCTCTCCTGCTTATGTCACGTATCCGGATGTGACGGTGACCTTGTTGTATTCACCCCTTAACCTCTTCCTGTCCCACCTCCCGCCCTTGGCCTATAAAAAATGTGATCATTTCCTGAATAAATGGAGGCTTGATTGGATTATTTCGACTTGCTTTCATCTCTCTTTGTCTCCCCCATGTCTTTTATTTAATCCCTGTTCCCCCTTCAGGAGTTCCCCACGGATTGATATGCAGGCCGGATCAATATAAAAGGATTGCTGAGTGTATCTAAATAAGACATAGATAAAAATTAAAGAGGAGCATCAAAGAATGAGGGAAACTTTGAATGAACAATATAGAGAAGACCTGGAGTGCATCAAACAGATTCAAAGAGACATCCAGGAAATTAAAACTCCATTGAAAACTGGCAAAACTGCCTGAAAGAATCTGGAGATAAACTTTCAGACCTTGAAGACAAGATGGCAGCAGCAACTGCAAAAGGAAAATTTTCTTAAAAATAACAAGGAGCCAGGAAATAATTCAAAGGCTGCAAGATGATGCAAAGAAAAATAATTTAAGAATGGTAGGTGTCAGCAAAAATGAAAAACCAGGAGTCAACACAAATGACATAAGCAGACTGTTTACAGAACTAATAATAGAGACTTGGGGATTTAACTCAGTGACACCACTACTTGCCTGGCAAGTGCCAGGTTGTGAGTTCAATCCCCAGTACCAAACAAAAGCAGTAATAGCAGAAAACTTCTTTTGTATGGGAAAAAGACCTGACATACAAATAAGTGAGGCATATAGAAATCTAACTAACCATAATCAAAATAAATCTACACCCAGACACACAATAATCAAGATCCCAGAAATTCAGCACAAGAACAGAATATTAAGGATTGTTAGAGGAAAGATAAGATCACCTCTAAAGGAAAGTCCATGAGAATCACAATGGACATCTCAACACAGACTATGCACTCAAGAAGAGCTTGAAGTATTTCCAAGTCCTGAAACAAAACAACTTCCAACCCAGACTGATGTACCCTGAAAAAACTGTCTTTCAAAATAAATGGAGAAATAAGATACTTCCATGCCAAAGACCAACTGAAGGAATTCATGACCACCAACCAACCCTACAAAGAATGCTGAAAGATATTATAGCGAAAGATAAAAATGACCACAGTCCCAGGAACAGCAGCAGAGTGGGATTTCCAAGCAGGGCAAACAATTGAATAGAGGGGAAAATAAGCAAGCCAACAGCAGGAAAAAAGCATGGCACAGACAGACCATTGAATGTTAGCCATAACCATTAATGTAGAAGCCTTCAATTCACCAATAAAAAGAAACACAGACAGAGTGGATCAAGAAACAAGATTCATCAATATGCGGTATACAAAAAACACATTAACTTGAAAGGAAATTCATAGGTTGAAAATCAAAGGAGAGAAAACAATGTTCTATGCAACAAGGAACCAGAAAAAAGCAGGAATAGCTTGCCCATCAATCACAGAATGGATAAAAAAGATATTGAATTTTATACAATGAGAAACTACTCAGCTATAAAGAAGGATAATCGTGAGGCTCTTATAGGTAAATGGATGCAACTTGAAGTCATGCTATTGGGTGAAATGGTTTGGAGTGACATGGGTGAACATCATGTTGTCTCCCTAGTATAAATAATTGATGGAGTTAGTGGGATCCAAAATGTATACTAGGTATTGTGAAAGCAAAAGGGGAGGAAACATCTAAAAAGGGAAGGTGGTAGCCATTGTTAATTCCCTATTATCTTGCTTTATTTTTATTTATGTATGTATTTATTTATTTAGGCTTTCTGAGACAGGGTCTCGCTATGTGGTTTAGGCTGACCTTGAGCTCACTTTGTAGCCCAGGCTGGTCTCAATCCTGCAATGACCCTCCTGCCTTAGACTTCTGAGTGTGGGGATTACAGGCATGCACCACCATTCTTGGTTTTAAAATCCTATATCATTTTCATTGTTTTGTTTTGGTTGGTTTTGTTTTGTTCTGTTTCATTTGATTTTATTAGAGCTGTTGGTATGGGCAGCTATTTTGAAGAAACAAGAGGCTTTATGGTAGCCCTTGCTGATCTCCTATTATTTGTTTTGAAATACTGTGTCACTTTCACTGTTTTATTTTGATTGGTTTTATTCTGTTGTGTTTTGGTTGATTTTATTAGGTTGATGGTAGGGGCAGCCATTTTAACAATAACAAGAGGCATTATGGTAGCCATTGTTGATTTCCTATTACCTTGTTTTGAAGTCCTATATTGCTGCCATTGTTTCGTTTTGATTGGCTTTATTCTGTTTTTATTTTGTTTGGTTTTATTCTTTGAAAAAAATTAAAAGAGAGGCAGCAAGCAAAAATAAAAAAGAAAAAATGAAAAAAGAATAATGTCAACAATACGTGTGCTCTTGTATTTTACGTTTTATTTTTCTGCTGTTATTTTGAAAGGTGCTGATAATCTGAAGTTTCTTGGGAAGGCAGGAGTGCTGTGTGGCAGATTCTGCCCAAAGTGCCTTGGAGAGCTCTGTCAGTTGTCTGCTGCATTTGAATATCCCAGAGCAACTGCAGATCTGATGTGCCCAGAACTATGTGTACTGTCTAGGTCCTACTGGCATTCTTGTTTGCAGAAATAGAAAAAAATTTATCATAAGATTTATGTGCAACCTCAAAAGACCCTGAATGCTCAAAACAATTTTAGAAAATAAGAACAAAGTAGAGGAGTCATACTTCCTGATTTCAAAACATATTACACAGCTACAGCAAAGAAATCAAGGTGGCATTTATTGGCAAAAGAACAGAGAGTGAACAAGTGGGATAAAACTGATACATCAGAAAGAAACTCTCACAAATAATCTTCAAAAAGATGCTATGATCACTCAGTGAGGGAAGAGTTTCTTATGTGAATGTTGCACCAGACATTCACATATAAAATACTAAAGTTGAATCCTTACATTATGCTATAAACAATTTCCTTAAAATAAATGAAGTCAAAATGGATTAAAAGCTTAAACATTAAACATGGAACTATAAAACTGCTAGGAAAAAAACACAGACCAAAACCTTCATGAGACTGGATTTGGTAATTTCTTTGACATGGTCACCAAAACTCCTGGCAATAAAAACAAAAGAGATAAATCAAACTACATCAAACATAAAAGCCTTTGTGCATCACTGGGAGTGATGGTGCGTGCCTGTGAACCCAACACTCACCAGACTAAGGCAGGAGGATGACACTTTTGAGCCCAGTCTGGTAACTTAGTGAGACCCTGCCTCAAAATAAAGAATAAAATAGGGCTGGGGATGTAGCTCAGTGAAGTACCATACAAAAAAGTGAGATGTCATAGAAATTTCTCCAAAGAAGATACACTAAGGGCCAAGAAGTACCTGAAAGAACAGATGCTCAGTATCACTATTCATTAGGGAAATACAAATCAAAACTCCAATGAGATGTCTTCTCTAAACCACTTGGGTGGCCGCCACCGAATAACAAACAAACAAATAAACCAGAAGCAAACAGACCCCCAAAATACATGCTGGTTATGATGGCGAACATTGGAACTTTTGTGCTGTGTTGGTGGGATTTTAATGTGATGCACTGTTACGAAAAATAATGTGATGATCCTTTGAAACATTAAAAGCAAAATTATAAAATCTAGCCACCTGACTTCTAGGTGAATACTTAATATATGGGAAGAAGGCTCTCCAAGAGATTCTTGCGTAAACATGCCTCTAGGTATAGTACTCACTAGCTAGGTGGAGCAACCCAGGTGCCCATAGATAGATGAATGCATTGACAAAACATGGCACCATGGGCTAGAACGCTGCCAGGTTTTTCCTTTCAGTTGTTTCCTGGAGTGTTGACGGAGGCCAGGTCTCAGCTGGACATTCCTTTCTGGAATTGCCAGCTGTTGGAGGCGAGCCTCACTCAATTTGCACCCCACTTGTAGTGACAAGATGATGTGAGGGTACAAAGGTCCAGCTCCCTTGTCTCTGCGAGACATCCAGGACCCACAAGCTGCAGAGCTCAGTGTGGGCGCGCCGAGACCTCTGTTTCTACTGTACCGTGGTGGCTGTTTCCCTCTGTACCAGGCTGTGCTCACTCCCTCGTGGGTGATGCTCGGGATGCCCTCAACCTCAGCACTCAGTTCTCTTCTTCCTAGGAACCAGTCT